TACCTGTGTCTTTCAATGCCCACAGAGGACAGAAGAGGCTGTCAGATCCCCTGGAACTGGAGTTATGGACAGTTGTTAGCTGCCACGTGGGTGCTGGGATTTGAACCTGGGTCTTCTGGAAGAACAGTCAGTGTTCTTAACCACTGAGCCATCTCTCTAGCCCCTTAACAAGATTTTTAGGGTGTAATTTCTAATATTTTTTAAACTCAGTTTTTCATTTTGAACATGCTTTAAGTATGTTTTAAATTTTTTTCAATTAGTATTCTTATTTTTTCACATATTTGTCTTTGCTTTTATATGTGTTTTTAATATAATAGTTGGTATGAGGGGATGTGCTCAGTGATTTAATATTGATAATTGGCCCACATCAAGAAAGAACTAATGGTTCTAGTCTTTTAAATCCAATTTCACAAAATTGAGACGTATACAGTGAGAAGGCACTGGGTCAGATGTATGCAAGATTGATTGTTGTCATTTATTTTAATCAGTTAAGTTGTCCACACAAATGCACAGCTGAATGGTGTCCAAGGAATTCTCTTTTCCTGAGTTTAGGTAAAATGTTAATGGTGATTGAAGCAGTCAGCTGACAGAGCCTTGTTTACTTGAGTGTTTTCTAGAGTTTCATCATCCTTTTCTAGCAAGCGTAATTATCAAGAAATGTAGGCTGTGGACTTCTACCAGGTCAAATTAAGTGTTTTATTTCCTGTTAGTATATTTTAGAAACTATTTTTATGTCATCTTTAATTATTGATTTAAGTAGAATGGTATTGGTAGAAAGCAAAAAAGAAATTTTCATTAACTTTTTAAAGCCTCTAATTGTATAATCTAGAATGGTTTTAGTTTTAATTTGAGATGACTTTCCAGATACTTAACACCAATTCTGAAATGAAAGGTAAATTATGTAACTTTTTGGTCATTTTACAGCGCTTTGAGCTTCATGATTCTGGAAGCTCTCTGCTTCCTAAAGAGATTGTAAGAGTAGAGAGGATGACTGACAACCACGTCTTCCAAGCTCATGTGACAGTCCAAGTGGCAGGAAAAGAGGTGACCATTAAGGTAATAATTTCATCACAAGGTTGTTCATTCTAATTGTGCATCTTGTTCTGATCACTTTTGTGTCTAAGTGTATAAGCCCCTGATTTAGTCTTTGGCTCTGCTGTACTTCTCTATGTCTGTGTGCATGTATCTGTGTATGTAGAGCTCTGTGTACTTGTAACTGGGAGGAATTCAGAAGAAACAAGGAAAGCCTTTCTTTACAAACCTGAAGCTTATCTCTGAAAAAAATCAAGTGTTGATTAATGAAGCATTTTGACCCATGAATTCTTTTTAAGAAATAGTGCTTTCAAACATGTATTAGCAATGGGAGAACCCTGTTTTAAGTAAAGGCTCTAAGCTACATGACACAGTTATAGTGGGAGCTCTTCTGATTGAGCAGTGTTTGCAAGAGGGGAGTGATACTTGGCCACTGATTTCCTTCTCCTTCTGCTTTTTCTCTTTCTTCTCACCTCTGCTTTAAGGGCTCTGAGGACCCTAGAGAATGCACCTTGAAAAATGCTGGCTATATAAAAATAGGAAAGACTCAATGCTCGCCTTTGTATGTTGTGACAGAGCAAATTCCATAATAAAGTTTTGTTTTAATGTGAATATTAATACTTATTCATGTAACTGTTGCACTAAATATTAGTTGCATGTATCATGAACGAGGCTGTCTATAATTAGATTTAGTGAATATTTTCTCTATACTGAGTATTTTTCTCCTTTCGTGTACTATTCCCTTTAAATCCCCTATAGTCCTAGAGGCAAGTTCTGTGACCATTTTTAAAGAGAGTAAACAATTGAGCTCTATAGTGATTTGATCAGTCATAGGTACTAGTAGCTTGCTAGAATTGTAGATAGGGTGATCATTCATGGGTACTAGTGGCTTGCTAGAATTGTAGACAGGCTTGCTCACCACTCCACACCTATTCCTCCTTCAGATCAATGTCCTCTCACAGTCCAGGTTAGAGGCAGATTAGTAAGGACTGCAGTAGGTTGAAGGTCAGCAGGGATGCAGTGAAGGAAGTCATACTGAAGTTGCCCAAAAGGGAAAGGGAAAGCTTCTGAGAGGAGACCTGGGACCAAGTCTTGAAAAATGGCCTGGATGTTTCTAGTGGCCCAGGAGTGTGGTGGGATACTTGGGCAATTTAAAGAAAATGTTCGGAGTTGTGAGATGTGAGCCAGTTTCCACAATGTGCTTTCCTTGTCTATGGCTCCGTAAGTTCATTGCCTCCTGTGCCTTCCAGCTAGCTTTTTATGTTAGTCCAAGGATGATCTTTTTATTTTGTATTGAATTTTTGTGTATTTCATACAGAAAATTGTCTTTATACCTGCTTCTTTGGCACCTTCCCATACCCCCCCATTGGACTTTGTACATTCTGTCATTTGTGTTAAGCCCTATTGTGTAAAGTTAGTGTCTCCACATGTCCCTTAGTGCAAGTTCATACTGGGATCTAGTCAGCCTGTCTAGAGTCCCGTCCTTTAAGGAGATCAACTCTTTCTCACCCAGCAGTAATCAGCTGCCAATAATTCTTTAACTAAGATCGGGGCCTGCTGTTCATTTCCACAGTTCTGTGCTGGGTTTTTGTCTGCTTAAGCTTGCATGGGTCTTGTGCATGCTGACATCATTGCTGTAGGTTGGTATGAGTCCCAGGAGCCTGTAGGACTATTTCCATATGATCATGCCCTTCCTCCCTGGCTTTTATATCTTTCCACCCCCTCTTCCACAATGGTCCCTGAGCCCTGAGTGGGTGCATTTTAATATAGGCGTTCTATCCAAGAACCCATACTCTGCAGATTCTTATTCTCTGCGTTTTGACCATATGACCTTTTGTGTTCCTGGCCCTCTTGCATAAGGCAGCTTCATTGATGAGAATTGAAAGATGCATTAGTATTCTCTTCATCCCTTGGAGAGATAAATAGTGCCTAGCTAGTATATAAAAAAAGAGGAAATCATATTAGTCCAAAAACCTACTGAAAAATTAACAATATCTCTACATGAGTCCATGAGTATAGTATGAAGGGTACATAACAAGAAACAGTGCCAGACAGAAAGAAACCTTCCTTTGAGTTGTTGGCTAGGGTAGTCCAAGAGACTCCCAAAATTACACAGGCTATTGCCACAATTCTCATTGCTCCCAGAACTTGATAGTTAAGACCCGATTGTTGAAGACAGAGCATACTTTGGACACAGGATTTGGAGCAATGGAGCTGGAACTGACCTGGAGGCCACCTCCCCTGAAGGCTAGCTCTCATAACTTTGGAGAGCACTATACAACTTGGTAACGGAGAACATCAATCAGTGGTCCAACCCCAACTTCAAGGCCTAAAAACCACATCAATGACCAGCAAAACAACCGACATTGGTGCAGTAGTGGCACTTTTATCTTGCGGGTAATCAACAGCTACCTAACTGGACTCAAAGCCCACTCAGTGGGAGGAAACTCATGTGTGGTACTGTAAACCTAGCCAAATATACATAGCTGGAGAGGTCATAGATCTTAAAGAAAACTCCAAGGCTGTCACATCCCTACACAAATGTAATTTCTTACTATGTGCAAAATATGGATCCTTATATTTACAGACAGGTATCCCAGTTACCACCCATCAAAGAAACTTCTGTTTGAAGAGACAGAGATAGAGTTCCACAACTGGTCACACACAGAGATTCTCTGTGAATTTCCCAAGCCTAAGGGGCACATCTAGGATGCAAACTCTAGACCTAAGGCTCACAAAACATGGATGATCTTTCTTTAATGCAGATCTGATATTGACACTCCAAACTTCTCATCTTTTATGGTTGGTGTTGTATATATAGTCTTATCAAATCCACAGTCTGATCAAATCCATGGTCTGATCAAGTCCACAATCCTCAGCAAAGCATGTTCCCCCAGAAGGCCAATCAAGAGAGAATGAACTCATATGTGGAATCTAATAAAGTTGACCTCATAGAATTGAGAGTAGAATAGTGGTTTACAGAGGTTAGGGAGAATGAGGAGAGAGGGTGGTCAGTGGGTTATAGCTAAGTTATAGTCAGTGAGGAATAAGAAGTTCTGGCATGCGGTTGCATAGTCAAGTAACTACAGCTTATGATAAAGTTGTATATTGTAAAAGGCCAGGGCAAAAGAATTAAAAACTTTTCATCATAAATAAGTGAAAAGAGAGCTGGGTGTCTCATGAATTTGAGATGGATGTGCTACATAGGAAGACTGTATTAGAAAACAAAAACAAACAAAAAGAAATGAGACATGTTGGAGGAGATTTAATGTTTCTATATATGTATACATTGTGTAATGTTTACATCAGATAATCTTTAATGGCTCTCCAAGTTCATTACTTCCCATCCCTTCTAGTTAGCTTTTTATGTTACTAATAAATAATCTGATTTCAATATTTACCCTAATATACATCAGTTGTTTTTTTTGTTTTGTTTTGTTTTGTTTTGAGACAGGGTCTCCCTGTAGCCCCCAGCCTGCCTGGAATTTACTATGTAGACCAGGCTGGCCTCAATCTCAGAGATCTGCCTACCTCTGCCTCCTGAGTGCTGGGATTAAAAGCATGTGCCCCCTACACCTGGCAATACACATAATTTTTATGTTCATATGTGGGTTAAAAAATAAACTTAATTTAAAAAAATGTTCTTAGAGAAGGAAAGAGCAATCAAGGAACAAGGAACAAAACCTAGTGACTCTGGACCAAAAAAAAAAAGAAAAAAAAAAAGAAGGAAAAAAACAAAAGTAGGTATGGAGGTGAGATTTTTTTTTTTTTTGGACAGATGCTTCAGAGTGATGAACTAAGAAGAGAGAAAATCTGTGGACATGGCTTTTAGGAATGAGGAAGTCACTGGCAGCCTTTGAAGTTCTAGTCTGTACTAATTTTAAATTCTGTTTTTATAACTGGAATTTGAGATAAAAAGATAATGTCATTCCCACTAGTTTAACGACAAAACATAAAAATATGTTTCTTATGAGTATATTTGACAGTATGGGACTTTTAATGTTAGAGTAATGATTAATGTGGAGATTTGATGATATGAATCTTCATTGTGCATGAGAAAATAGTTGCTGCTCAATTGAAATATCACAAACTAGCATAGAATTGAGTTGAGCAAGAAATTAATAGGGTGTTTTTTTGTTCTTTTTTTAGAAATTACTCATATTTTGAGAAAAACATGTGCATATTTTATTTGACTATAGGTGCCAGCTGGGACCAGACCAGTAAGCCAGTCCTGTGCGTCTGATCCTTTCATACAGACTTTAAGTCATAAGCAGTTGCTGGCTGACATGATACAGTCTCATATGGTGAAGGACATATGCTTAATTGGAGGAAAGGTAAGAATGGTGGCTTCCTTGTAAACTTCTGCTTCCTAGCTTTGGTTGTTTTGACTCATCCCTTAAATAATTGTGCTTCCATTTGTAGGGTTGTGGAAAAACGGTCATCACTAAGAACTTTGCAGATATCTTGGGATATTCCGTAGAGCCCATTATGCTCTATCAGGTACAAAATTTATTTATTTATTTTTTAATATTTTATTTTTATTTTACGTGTATGAGTGTATTGCCTGCATGTATGTGAGTGCACCTGTGTCGTGCATTGCGGAGGTCAGAAGAGGACTTTGGATTCCCCTGGAACTGGAGTTAAGGAGGGTTCGTAGCCACCATGTGGGTGCTGGGAATCGAACCTGGGTCCTCTGCAAGAGCTGTCAGTGCTCTTAACCACTGAGCCCTCTCTCCAGCCCCACAACAATAACATTTATTTTTTAAATTTGTACTGTAAACAAAGATGCTCAGCCTATCAGTACCTATGGCCTGTTGAATTTTTGATGTAGATAAATACCCGAGACAGCAGTCAAATTAGAGAACAATCATACTTGTTTGGAGCTTTTGAAGAAGGCACATTCTAGACTGTCTGATGTGTACTCATTTTATGAGTATGTATGCTGCCCCAAGAATACAGTCAGTAGTAATTTGGAAACCTAAAATTGAGTGTTCCCTTCTGTCATGGAGTGCTATCCTCTGGCCATGACATGGCTGTAGTGGTCTTGAAATCTGAGCAATGAGGATTACTTGCAGGAGCCCATTACCATTCCCTTATGGAGGGAAAGAGAGCCCACAAGGCAGTGCAGGAGCAGCCCACAAGAAACTCCAGAGCCCCATTCCCCACATGTATAGGTGGTTTAGGGTTGCTGGAGTGGGAGGGGTTCTCTTTGATGGCATAGTCACCCATGCTTCTGTAGCTAACTCCTCATACATGCTCCTGTGACCAACCCCAACAGGTACTTACTAGCTGTGGGTGGAATTGTTTCTTTGGTCTTTTGTTGGTATCCTATTTCTTAAAAAGAAATGCTTATTGCATTTATTTATTATTTATTTATGTGTGTGTATGCAAGTGTGCAAGTGTGTGCACATAGTTCAGAGTACAGCTTTCAACTGCTTTGAACTCATACAGACAAGATATTTTTATGGAAATACATCTCTTTTCTCTTTAACTCCATTCCAACTTGGTATTATTTATAAAATTGTGAATGTTTTCTTAACATTAAAATAAAGCTCCTGTTCTAATAAAGCTGTATGTACTTTTTAGACCTCATGATTTTTCAAACAGCACTCCTTGTATCAGTTTTCTGCGGTTAGTTTACACTGACTGGTAGTTTTTACATGGTGTGTTTGTGCTGTGAAATTTCCACTTACCTTACCCTGCTGTCTTTTAAAAAAAGGACTGAACACCAGGTGTATAAGTTTAGTAATTCAGAGCTCTTGCTACACTGAACGGACCCCCAAAGTCACCTACTCTTGAGATGTCATTGTAGTATGTGAAAGAATGCTTTAGAGTCTGAGAACACATTATATGTTTTTGGAGCATGGCAATAAGGTTACACAATATTTTAATGTTATTTTTTTTTCCTGATCAGTTTGTTGATGGATTCAAGTACAAGGACATGAAGATGCAGTTACTAAAGTGAACGACTTCTTATTCCTGATACACTCCTGATTTAGGAGGCCAGCCTCTTTTAGCTTCTGTTACAGAATATCATTTAGTCATATTTTATTAAATCCTTGTTCTCTGAAAAATGTGGATAATAATAGAAGGCCTTTAGGTTTCATTCACAGAATACTTCGCCTGTCCTTTGCATGTGCATTTTCTGATCTTAGAAGTGTGTTATATAAGTTGTACAATTGGTGTAGGGATAAGCAAACAACTCACATACTCTGGAAATGTATCTTCTTTTCCCACTTTGCTTTTCTGTTCATTAATCTTCAGATGAAATATATAGAGAGAGCAGTTTCTGCAAGTGGAGAATTTGCAAAGGAATAGAGACATCAAAAACTTTGACCTGTTTTGGGTGAATTTCCTTCTCTCTCTCTTCTCTCTGCACTGCTTCTTTCCCTGAGCTCAGTCAAAGCCTACACTGGGCCCTGTACTGACACCTGTGGATTTTTGCTAATTGCTAATCAAGTGTTTTTCATGGCAGAAACTGAGTTCATGAGATCAAGCATTGGATTGTTTTTGCTTCCACTTTCATATTTTGAATAAAGCTCATTGATTTTTCTGGGACAGAAGAATTAACTTAATATGATAAAGAATCAGTTTGGTTTTTACAATAGCATAGTCAACATTAATGGAAATGTTTCAGAGGTTTGATCCAGTGTCAATATTTAGTGGGAGTGTGTGATCCATCATCCACATTTCTGGAGATTTGGAGACTTCACTGTTATTTGTTGCAACACATAATCTGTGAGTTTTATCTTATTTTTAGACGACTATTTTTATAACTACATTTCGTATGAAGTCAAAGGAAAACGGGTCTTTAACACAGATTTGTCATACTACATAAAATATGTTTTATAATAGGTGATAAAAATTTCAAATCATTTTTCTTAAGCATTAGATAAGATTCCTTTGACTCTTTACTCCTTTTTTAGTGTTGAAGCCAGTGATTTCATATTTTTGAAGAAATACAAGTGATTATTCTTTTTTCTTCATAACTAGAAAATCAGATTTCTTTTGACACCGTTATAAATATACCAGATTTGAGATCACCTTATTCTACTAGGTGGTTTAAAGACTAAGTTAAATTAAAAAAAAAATGAGAGCAAATACATGGGACTTTAAATGAAAATAATCATTATGTAAAATATGTGAACATCTTGGAATCACCTTTGGCTCCTTTGCTCAGCTTTTCTTCCTGTACTTGAATTGGATTTCATCCAGTTTCCTTCCTCTGTCTAGTCTGCAGTCTCCACTTCTCGCTATCCAAGCACAGGAGTTTTTTTCTGCTTTTATCTGCTGGGACCCCGATCACATTTTAGTGTCTTGTCTGTATTTCTGTTTCTTCCATGAAACCATTAATTGTGAGGGTCAGCCTTTCCCAATCAGCGGTCAGCAGTAGCTTCGACCGTTTTCCATTTTCAGCCTGGATTTAACCTAATTTATCCTTCTAATACTTACTTTTGTTCTTTCTAATATTTCTGCTTTATATCTTTGAAGTATCTCCTATCGTTTGCAAGATAGTTGTAAATTCTGTTGTTTAGCACAGTGACCTTTCTTTGTCCCCTCTAAGGCTTCACTGTACTATGCGTAGCTATGGCACATTGCTGTTCAACTCTGCTCCCTTCATGGGTACCTAATAGATGCTGAGTTGAAAATGGAAACTTTCAGTTTGTACAACCTCAATTTTGTAATTCAAATGATAAATTAAGGGTATTTGTATTTTCATTTTCATATGGATATTCTTTGTCCCTTTTTAAAAACAGCTGCATGGTTTAACTTTGGAGGTTCCCATGATTTCAGATATCCATCCATTTCTTTTAGACTTTCAGATTTAGTAACATATATGTTTTTAAAATATTCCCTTATAATGGTCTGGATCTTTTGGGTGTCTGTTGTGATGTTTCCCCTTTCATCTCTGATTTCGTTGATTTGGATTTGCTCTTTCTTTCTTTTGGTTAACTGTGCTAAGGGTCTGTCTATCTTGTTTAGCTTTTCGAAGAACCAGCTCTTAGATTCCTTGATTCGGTGTAATGTTTTCTTTGTTTCTGTTTCATTAATTTCTGCTCTGATTTTTGTTATTTCTTCTCTTCTGCTGGGTTTGGGTTTCATTTGTTCTTGCCTTTCCAGTGCCTTGAGTTGCAGTGTTAGGTCATTTATTTGGGCTCTTTCCAATTTTTTAATGTAGGCACTTAGAGCTATGAACTTCCCTCTTAGGACTGCTTTTAATGTGTCCCAGAGGTTGTGTTGTGTTGTATTGTCCTTTTTGTTGAATTCCAGCAATTCTTTTACTTCTTTCTTAATTTCTCCTTTGACCCATTCATTGTTTAGGAGTGTGTTGTTCAATCACCACAGGATCGTATAGTGACTAGGGCTTTATCCAGTATTGATTTTAAGCTTTGTTGCTTTGTGGTCTGATAGAATGCTTTACTTATGGAATATTGAGTTGTTTTTGATAATTTATAACTACAAACTAACTTGAATGGATAATTTTGTGTGAATGTGTTTTCATATTATTTGGAAGCATGTTTTCAGGATAGACTCTCAGAAGTGGGATTGCTAGGTAAATAGCTATGTTTACTTTTGAGTTTTGTACACTTTTCCTCTATATGTGTTATACCATTTGCACTCTAGCCAACACCAGTAGGATAGAAGGCTATCAAAATTCACTTTGATTGCCTACCTAACAGTTAAAAAAAATGCATCTCGGAGCTGGAGAGATGGCTCAGTGGTTAAGAACACTGGTTGTTCTTGCACAAGACCCAGGTTCAAATCCCAGCAGCCACATGGCAGCTAAAAACTGTCTGTAACTCCAGTCCTAGGGGATCTGACTGCCTCTTCTGACCTCCACAGGCATTGCACAACATGGATGCACTTACCTATGTGCAGGCAGTACATGCATACACATAAAATAAAAATAATAAATAAAATTAAAAAAGAGGAAAAAAAATGCATCTCAGAGAAGTTTTAATTCTCATTTCCTAGGACAGAAGTTGAAAATTCTTTTTTATTTTTCAATGTAAGGGCTTTATTAGGATGTAATTGATAATAAAGAATATTTTGGGCTAGAGAGATGGCTCAGGGGTTAAGAGCACTGAGTGCTGTTGCAGAGGACTTGGGTTCAGTTCCCAGCATCCACATGGCGGCTAACAACTGTCATTACCTACCTCCAGTTCCAGAGGATCTCATGCCTTCCTGGTCTCCTTTGGTATTGCATGAACAAATTACATCTACATACATGAAGACAAAATGCTCATACTCAATAAGTTTTTTAATCTCATTTTTAAAGAATCATTTTTATAGATTTTTGTAAGTTATCTGTTCATTTGCCTACTTTTTGTATCAAGTTGTCCATTTAAAGAATATATTAGATTTGTTGGCATCTTATCTGTTATATATTGCTTATATTGTCTCTCAATTTGCCATTTGTCTTTTGACTTTATGATTACTATATTTAAAATTATTTATTTAATAAACACATAATTAGAAGCATTTCATTACAACAGCAT